ACGAACGAGATGTGTTTTAAACATGCAGACTGTCAGCTTTAAGTTGAGTGTACTTACATTCAAATCAGGTGATCGGTGTTGTAGGAATTACAACAGTAATATGTAAACTATATGTATTCTACGTTTTTCTTATAGTTTGTAAGTTCAGATGAATTTACTTTTTTTGCATTAGAGGCAAACTGCGGGTACAAAAAAAAGATACCAATAACGACCTTGGCCTATAAATCCACTTTTTGTGCAACAAATTGCCTTTGTGCACCCAGTGTAAAAAGTAGCGGTGTTGTCTTTGCTGTGCTGCGTAAAGCCTCTTCAGAGAGCGGAGCGGAGGGAGGGTCCCAGCAGGCCTCACCCATTACAGGCTTCCTGCAGGAAACTACAGGAGGGGAGGAGACCAGACCAGTCACCCTGCATTGGGGAGAGAGCAGTGAGCTGGTCCCTTACACAGAGGCAATGTTGAGTTGTTTCATGCTGTACTGCATGGATCTGGAATTTTTAGAATCGGGTCTTTTTTTATTTTATATAAGATTGGATCCATGTACATGAATAGTCAAACAATCCCAACCTCCGGCATTGGACAACAGTATTAATAACACTTTTTAGTAATGCAATACATAAGGAGTGCGCATCAAAACGTACAAATGGATTTACATCCCAAATCAGTCTCAATCTTTAAAAGGCAGGCCACTTCCACCATGGCCTCAGTTGTAGACATAGATGTTGAATAGGTGCATGTCTGGGCATAATACATAAAACACGTTCAATACATCTCTTCAATACATGCACATTCTGAAATGAGATGTGGTGTTGTCTATTGCACACAGTGAGTAAAGATCAGTAATACAGCGTTGAGTTCAGAGCTGTAAAATAAAAATAGAAATTTTTTTTTAATTTGCAGTAATTTACTTGTGTGTTTACTTGTTTATGCGCGTATAATTGAGTATATTTCAATACTGGCAATGAAGAATTATTTTACTCGTCTATACGCTTATACACCTTTACTCGCCTATGCTCAACATTGGTTAGGTCTTTACGCACAGTTTTTGGCCCCTTGCACAAGAACATCACAAGTTCCTGAGTAAACATCAGTAAATTATGACGCCCGAGTGCAAAGGGCCTTACAATGCTTGAAGTACAGATAAATAACTGCTGATCTGCCAGCCAGGAGTGGAGCCAGGTCATGCAGTCTGGACGTGCCATTGTGTTTTGTGGTTTATATAATGCCAACACTTTGCAAAATGCATCATAGTATAAAAGGAAAGCAGTATGTTTACAATGCAAATAAAGTCAAGTGTTAGGGGGTCCTGCTTTTGGTAACTTACAATTTTTAAAGGGGGTTTAGCAACTGTCTGGGGTAGCGTTAATGGGGAGAATAAAAGTTCACTTTTTTGGGTAGAGGTGAGTTAGTGCTACTAAACACACAACAGTACAATCAGTCTGTAGATGCAGTTAAAGCATTCTTGTTTTACTCACTGTGGAACCTAAGGGGTTAATCTTCTGCATAGTGAGCGCGGGGTCCGGGGAGGGCGGATATACTGAGCGTGGGGTCCGGGGAGGGCGGATATAGTGAACGCGGGGTCCGGGGAGGGCGGATTTAGTGAACGCGGGGTCCGGGGAGAGCGGATATAGTGAACGCGGGGTCCGGGGAGAGCGGATATAGTGAACGCGGGGTCCGGGGAGAGAGCGGATATAGTGAACGCGGGGTCCGGGGAGAGCGGATATAGTGAACGCGGGGTCCGGGGAGAGCGATATAGTGAACGCGGGGTCCGGGGAGAGCGGATATAGTGAACGCGGGGTCCGGGGAGAGCGGATATAGTGAACGCGGGGTCCGGGGAGAGCTATAGTATTGCATGGAGCTTGCCCTAAGTGCCACACGGACCCCCCCTTATCCAAGTCACCCGGACTATTTCTATCACTACTATACTTTTCAGACTTTGGTCCAGTATTTGCGCTGATTATCATTACTTCTATTGCTAACCAAACAAGAAAGGCAATGCATGTTGTTTTTGGGTTTTTTTTTGTTCTTTGCGAATATAAACTGAGCCAAGCATGTTAGGAAAGGGAGAGGAGGCATTACAGCCAGCAGTCTGATCTCTCTGCTGATCAAGTCCGTTTCACAGCTCAACAGTAAAAGGCATTGAGAGACGACTCTACGTGGGTGCCTGACACCTGCCAGATGTGTGCTATAAAATATTAAAATGTTACATTTCATATTTGCCGGTAAAAGGTAAAAACAAAAAAAAAATTATTTTCATGTGCCCAACATCAAAAAAAAATATGACTTCGTTTCTGTAGTTTTAGCAAGTACACAGTAAACTTGTTTAATTCTTCATTACAGAAGCTAAGCAGATTTGGATCGTTGGGAACTCTATCATAACCTGGGCTGCTCAGAGAGCCAAGGCTTGCTCTTTTGGCCAGGACCTTGGATTCAAAGAGGAACACGTTACCGTTTGCTGGATGGGCAAGGCCATTCTGCAGTGGCGCGATTTGCGAACGGAACTGAGTCAGACAATGTCCGTATTAGGAATGCCGAGCATGATAATCATTCACATGGGGGGCAATGATCTGGAGCATTTGAGCGCTTTCAAGCTGGGTAATTCTGTGAGAAGGGACTTTCCTCAGCTCCGCGAGCAGTACCCGAAAATAAAGTTCGTGTGGTCGGAAGTCCTCCCCAGGTTGGCATGGACCATGACCCCTCTGGATGAGAAGAGATTGAAGTTTAACAGCATGGTCTCAAGGATCGCAGTAGAGTGTGGCTTCGGAGTGATTACGCACGAAGGAGTTGAGGAGAGATTGAACACCCCGTTCAGGAAAAGATGTGGTAATGGCATTTCCGATGTGGAGCTGGACATCTTCAACACAGCAGTCAGAGACTATTTGAAGACGGCCATACGTGAATTGAAGTAGCAGATTTGGTTTGACCGATCTGTTATTACTGTGAGGTTATAGTTTTGTGTATTCATAGCGAACATTCATTCAACAAGTTTCAATCCAATTTCCATGTATACACTATTTGGCTAAAAATATCCGGACACTTTTGAAACCTATCATTCCAAAAACCAGAATCCTACCTTTGAAATTGTCCATCTCTTCGCTGCTATAGCACTTTTTTTACTTTTCCGAGAAGGCTTTCATGTAGATGTTGGGACGCTGTTAAGATTTGCTCCCTTTCACAAGATGAGCAAGGTTAGGGGTGATTGGCTGTGGGTTTGCAGTTCATCTAACAGCATTTTCATTGTTTAAGATTACTGCTTGGTTCGACTTCTTAAATTTTCCTTTGTGCCTCCCTTAAAGGGGAACTACACTGCATCCGAGCACAACAAACCAAAAGTGCTATTCATTTTTATTTATTGAAATTAAATTCCCCTATCTCTCCATGTCTCCATGCATTTATTTTGTTGAGAAATAATGTTGAAAACCCCCCCTAGCATTTCTGTCTGTGGCCATCTTGCATAAGGGCAGATGGTTCATGTAGCATTTACTTCCTGAAATCCATCTGCTCTTAGCTCAGGCATGAGAAAGAACCCCTTTTGAAGATGCCTAGGGATGTACGACATGATTTGTCTGGGCATGGAAACCATGAAGTAACTGAAGAATTGTAAAAAAAAAAAATTTGACAAGTATGATATACTTTCCCATCTATTTACTAATGCTAGCAGCATAAGGATTAATATTTTTCAGTGTTGATTGAGAGAGACGTTCCACTTTAACAAAAAATAAGTCATTAAATGGCATCGTCATCCTACTTTAGTGGCACCATCTCAAAAAGCTGAGCTCTTCCACTTAGACCATTCTTGACAGCCTTTGTTACTGAACATTATAAGGTGACAATAGGTAGGCCAGTTCCCTTTGGGGTGCCCGGATATTTTTGGCTGTATAGTGTAGCCTTACAACAGTTGTTAGATTACTAGTGAAAATCCACTGGGGTTAGCCAGGTGCCTTTCATCTATGTCTCCATTAAAGACTGAAGTCCTGAGCAGGTAGGAGGATGACCTCCCTGTATACGCTGTTCAGGGGTATCTCATTTACATTTATTTTATTTTTTTTTTTTACATAAATTTTGGGTTTTATAAAGATTTATAGTAGTGCAGCCGATTACACTGCAAACTGTCAAGCAAACCCAAAGAACATTGGGTCTCATAGGTTGTGGTAATTGGGGTACAGCTGCAAAAAAAAAAATGTTGGTGAAAGAAACCAATATGGCGGAGATAAAGCAGCACATGGTTTAATTTCATTTTAAGGATGTGAAATTTGAGTACGTTATGATTGATTTCATAACCTGCTTCTACCTTGTAAATCTTGACTCATGCCTGTCGCTTCAGTTTTCCTGTGTGCTGAGTAGGAGAGTCTGCCTGTTATCACAAAGCAGATTAAAGTGTTACTAAACCCACAACAGTAAAATCAGTCTGTATATACAGTAAACATGCTTGTTATACTCAGTGAAACCTCTGCATTGTGTAAAAAGGCTGTTTGATGATCCAGTCTTCTCTGATACTCCCCTTCTACTGTCCCCAATCCATATGCTGATAGTACAGAGCTCTAGGAGACACTCTGCACATGCTCAGTTTGGTGTTTATTGTGATAGTTTTTTTTTTTTTTTTTTGGGAGGGTACATGTGATCAGCACTGTCCAGACAGAGGGTCAGGAGTCGTGCAGCCTCATAGAACAGTCAGAGGAACATTAAAACTCCTACAAGCTTTAACCAGTGCTCTGCTGGACACTGATAGAAGTCACAAGACTGCTTTTACTGCTGATGAGAAAAAGTATTTTGCATTTCCATGTTCTGTGTACTGTGGGAGACCAGATATAGAGAATGCAGGGTCCGGGGAGAGCGGATATAGAGAATGCAGATATAGAGAATGCAGGGTCCGCGGGAGACCAGATATAGAGAATGCAGGGTCTGCGGGAGAATATAGAGAATGCAGGGTCCGGGGAGACCAGATATAGAGAATGCAGGGTCCGGGGAGAGCGGATATAGTGAATGCAGGGACCGGGGAGAGCAGATATAGTGAATGCAGGGTCCGGGGAGAGCGGATATAGTGAATGCGGGGTCCGGGGAGAGCGGATATAGTGAATGCGGGGTCCGGAGATAGCGGATATAGTGAATGCAGGGTCCGGGGAGAGCGGATATAGTGAATGCGGGGTCCGGGGAGATCAGATATAGTGAATGCGGGGTCGGGGAGACCGGATATAGTGAAAATGCGGGGTCCGGGGAGAGCGGATATAGAGAATGCAGGGTCCGGGGAGAGCGGATATAGTGAATGCGGGGTCCGGGAGAGACCAGATATAGTAAATAGACCGGATATAGTGAATGCGGGGTCCGGGGAGAGCGGATATAGAGAATGCAGGGTCCGGGGAGACTGGATATAGAGAATGCGGGTCCGGGGAGACTGGATATATAGAGAATGCAGGGTCCGGGGAGAGCGGATATAGAGAATGCAGGGTCCGGGGAGACTGGATATAGAGAATGCAGGGTCCTGGGTTTAGTATCACTTTAATGGAGTACCACACTATTTGCCAAGAGTTAAAACATATTTTTCTTATAATACATGTGGACAGGTTTCATGGCTTCCAAATGCCCCTTCTTGCTCATGGTCGTAGTTATTGATTAAAGAAATGAATCGAGGACAGTTGAGGAGGTTAGGAACTTTAATGTTGCCATTGCTATAGTCAGTCACATGACTCATCCCTGTTGTGAGCCAATCAGATGAGCAGAAAATGGCACTTGGGGGCTGTTCCATATAGTTGACCCGGTTAGGAGGAAATTAATTAGTATTCAGTTTGATAAATGCAAAAAGGCTGTAGTTAACGGTAAATTACAGAGTGACTTGTTTGATATATAGAATGTTTGTTTTTTCTTTGAGAAAAGTAAAGTTTTTATTTTAAGGCCTTTTATATCAACTCTGGATGAAGAGTTTATATACTTGCTGTTAGCGCAAATTACGTTAGTGTTAACAATTGAGTGGACAGGAAATAAGCCTTCCAATGTATTTCATAAAAAGTGAAGTATGTGTAAACTTTAACAATTCTCTCATTTTCACCACTTTTGGTCTGTTAAATGTACTATGGAAAAATTGTGTTTTTGAGAAGTAAAAAACATGCTGGTTTAATCCTGTGAGCTGATAACTGTGTTTTACATTCTTTATCAGGTATATTGTTCCCAGTTTTTATTGTGGACTGAAAAATGCCTATCACCCTGTCTTATGCAAAAGAGGAAAGGGGGGAGATATTCTGTAGTCCTCAGATGACAACTCTGCTTCTTTAGTAATACAATACAGTGAGCGTTGTCACCTCCAAAACGGGAAGTGTGATTTACAGGATCACTTGGTGAGCCTAGGACGGGAAGTGTAATTTACAGGATCACTAGGTGAGCCTAGGGCGGGAAGTGTGATTTACAGGATCACTAGGTGAGCCTAGGACGGGAAGTGTAATTTACAGGATCACTAGGTGAGCCTAGGACGGGAAGTGTGATTTACAGGATCACTAGGTGAGCCTAGGACGGGAAGTGTAATTTACAGGATCACTAGGTGAGCCTAGGACGGGAAGTGTAATTTACAGGATCACTAGGTGAGCCTAGGGCGGGAAGTGTGATTTACAGGATCACTAGGTGAGCCTAGGACGGGAAGTGTAATTTACAGGATCACTAGGTGAGCCTAGGACGGGAAGTGTAATTTACAGGATCACTAGGTGAGCCTAGGACGGGAAGTGTGATTTACAGGATCACTAGGTGAGCCTAGGACGAGAAGTGTAATTTACAGGATCACTAGGTGAGCCTAGGACGGGAAGTGTGATTTACAGGATCACTAGGTGAGCCTAGGACGGGAAGTGTAATTTACAGGATCACTAGGTGAGCCTAGGACGAGAAGTGTAATTTACAGGATCACTAGGTGAGCCTAGGACGAGAAGTGTAATTTACAGGATCACTAGGTGAGCCTAGGACGGGAAGTGTAATTTACAGGATCACTAGGTGAGCCTAGGACGAGAAGTGTAATTTACAGGATCACTAGGTGAGCCTAGGGCATAAAGTGTAATTTACAGGATCAGTAGGGGGGAGCTTGAAAAAGAATGTACACATCCATCACACCTAAGTACGGCTAATCTGCAATATTACATTTTTGTTGGTTTTAGATACACTTTAACCACCTCCCGTCTGGCCGTTGTATATAAACGGCCAGACGGTGGCAGTGCAGGGTCGGGTGGGTGTTTATAAATGGCCTCCCCGCCCCCTGCTTGTGCGCGCTCCCTGGGAGTGCGCAGCACTGCGATCTGGTGCCCGCTGTGTCCTCCGGACACAGTGGAACACCGATCGTTGTACGGGACCTCTCTGCGAGGTCCTGATCATGTAATCACTGATTGGCCAATCAGTGATCACATGCAGAGTAGTAAGCAAGATGTCACTTCTGACATCATTGCTTACTACGTGTGAAATCTGTGAATGATCACAGAGATCACATGGTACAAGGCTATCCACAACAGCCTTCTACCATGTGACAAGCTGTGACCAATCACAGCTCACACAGTATTTCCCAATGGCTGCAAGAATGCAGCCAGAGAGGAGGAGAAATAATTGCTTTTACAGCCTTTATGGGTGGACTGACAACTCATGGGACCACCGGGCAATTGGGGATCATGGGGCCCCTGTGTCCTTACCCAAACTCAAAAAAGCCACCAGGGGCATCTCATGGGGCCCCCTACTGACCCCGGGCCCTCGGGCAGTGCCCAAGTTTCCAAATGGTCAGTCCGCCCCTGGGGTCAGGTATTACTTTTGATAATGATTGGACCAGATGAACAGGCAGTGTTCTGGTTCATCCCACAGTGTTTCAGGTAGGATAAGGAGCTCTGTTGGGGTCTTGTTATTAATGTTCTTTCCTTCCACCTCTATTAAAGGCTGCAATGATCATCTTTTGACTTATTGGAAAGTTGCCGTCCTACTTGATGACCAAAGCTGGACTCATTCTACTAGCAATGTTGAAGGTCACAAGATTGTATGATTTATTATTCAGGATTTATATAGCTCCAACAGTTTATGCAGCGCTTTACAACATAAGGGCAGACAGTACAATTGCAATACAATTTAATACAGTGGGAATTTGAGGGCCTTGCTCGCTAGAGCTGACAATCTAAGGCCCCATGTACACGGGACACTTCTCAACGATGGAAACTGACTGCTGGAAAATGTAGATTAAAAAAAGTCTGCTTAGCCGCGTTTATGAGCGTTTGCGTTTAGAAGCGTTTTTTAAGATAACCTCAGGAGACCTTCCAAAATGCCCAGAATGCACTGAAAAACAGTAAATAACTATTTCAGACATTTTGAGAGCAATAGAGAGAGCAGAAGCAGAGAGAGCAGTATGTGTTGAGATTGGCTGTCTTTTTTTTTTTTTTTTTTTTTCTTGTGTTTGGATGTTCCGGCTCATTTCTGTGCAGAAATTATTGCAGCATTGTCTAACATATTTTTTTTCAAACGAAACCTCAAAGTATGGTGTACCGGGTCCATTTGCGTACCAGGAAAACGCTTTGTATGCATTTTTAATTATGAAAAAAAGGCTCTGGACAGCGTCTGGAAAAGGAAGAGTTAAAAAAAAAAAAAAAATGCAAATGCCTATAAACGCGGTTAGCCGCGTTTACAAGCATTTTGCGTTTGAAATGCTGGTAAAATCTACTCCTGAATGCAAGTTTTCTGCGTTAAAAAAAAAAATCCAGCAAACTCAACTGCTTGTAAATGACTGTAAATGATGTGTACACGGACACATAGGAAAACATTAGAGAGAGTTCAGGGGCTGCTGAAAAAAACGCAGAAAAGCTCCTAAACGTGAGTTTATCAGCTGCTGTGTACAAGGAGCCTTAGAGATCTATTGGAAGAATTGACAGAATTTTGGATACATAATGTATTTCAGCCAGCAGGTAGTGAGGTACAAGGAGCAAAGGGCTTCATTTCATTCTAAAGCTATGCAGTAAAATAGACCTGAATGGCAGATTGAAAAAATTTCTCACATAATAGAAACCACTTCCTTCCCCCTTTTAAGATGAGGCTTGACCAGTTTAGTCAATTGAACATTGGGTGCTTGCAAGCAGGCAGGCGTTTCTGGACCGCTGTTAACACCCTAGCTTGTTTTCAATCTCATTGTCCCAGATCGTAAAATCACGATTTAAACTAATAGCAAAACTATATAAAGCATAAACTTCCAAGGTTTGACTTATTCTAATATTTTTTTGTGCAGCTTCTAAAACACCACTGATTGGACAGATCTCCTCAAGTTGTTTTTGGGGCTGTTGGGAATAGTTGGAATTTGATGGGCTGAGTTAGCAATTGGTATCACAATGACAAGCTGTCTTCACTTAATTCCTTAAAAATCTGCTCCTGGACACTTTGGGGTTGACTTGCTAAAACTGGAGAGTGCAGAAGCTGGTGTAGCAGTGCATGGTAGCCAATCCGCTGCCAACTTCAGCATGTTCAATTAAGCTTTGACAAAAAAAGAAAAAAACACACCTGGAAGCTGATTGGTTTCTGTATAGAACGGCACCAGATTTTGCACTCTCCAGCTTTAGTAAATCAGCCCCCTTGGGTCTTCTCACTCCTGTTCTATGCCCTGTCAAACAGTATCAATGGAATGTATGTAGGCAGGTTAGTGAGCGCACTCCAGTAAGCGGCAAAATGCACTAAGAAAGAACTACAGAGCCTTTCCAACTGGAATTGACAAAATAAAAGTGCAGCGCTACAAACAATATCCTTATAACAACTAGATTAAAATGACTGGTAAAAAAGAAGAAATTGTCCAATGACTAGCAAAGAAATAATTGTCCAATGCAATAGTGTCAGATGTGGTAATCAGTTCAATTATGGAGAAACTTCCAACCACGCTGGTGTAATCCAATCAATATCGAGGAGTAGGTAGATTGCCCACTTACCAGAAGCGCAATCTCAATGCGCATATGCAGGTCACATGTAGCCGAGGTCTCATGTAGGCGCTGCTTAGTAGTACCCTGGTAGTCCCTCAGTGGTAAGGAGATGCTGGTCTGGTCGGATCACACTGCTCCTTGGATCCACACAGAAGCCTAAAGTGCTGGGGCTGAGGTATGGGAGCTCAGTGCCAGGTATGAGAAGTAAAAATGCTCATAGTGTAGTAATTTTAAAAAATTTATTAAATCCAATGTATTAAATTAAGATCACAAAACACATGCCTGTAGCCAGTTAAAGCGGCTGTGAAAAAACATCCAAAAGAAAAAACACTGACCAGTGAAATTCAAGAGTTGGCCGCCGGACCTCCTGATCCGGCGGCGTGACGTCAAGGCGTGCGAAGGCTCCTCCTTGGAACCCCTTATAGCTTCCATTATATAACTGTTCTGCTGACCTGGCAAATCATCAGATGTAGGCACAACGATCCCCAGGAGATTCAGCAGACTGTTCGGTGGGAACTTGGACACTTTATATGCACAGATTTTATTGAAGCACAACAGACACTTTATTGAATCCTGTTTAATT